AAAACGCGAGCCCCGGCTTAGATTTCAGATGCGCCGAGCCGAGCGAGCGTGCGCGCGGACGAATCTTTATGCCGCCATATGGCGGCGACGGCGGCCTCTTTCCCTCTGTGTTCTCTCCCGCTGGTTTTATACTCCCGTCAGACAAGAGTGCGGGCTGTTGTGAATGCGATTACGTGCTTCTCGCATAAACGCGATGCCGCAGCAACGACCGACGACCGGTAGCCACCGTCGCCAAATTGTTCGTCGACCACTCGGAGCCGTTTAATCCCGTACCCGCAAGGAATCGGCGGAGACGTTCCTCTCAATATCGACACAATGGTACTCGATGATGGTCCTCCGTGCGTAACGCAATGCGGCGGTTCGTGACAAAGGAAGGACAGAAATTCATTAATTCTCGCGCGCAGTTCTCGTTTCGGATACCGTCGCGATATGTGGCATTCGGGAAATAACGTTAGACTGTTTGTTGCGACGAATATTATCACGTACCTCGGTGGTCGAATTGGTGAGACGAACTAACATTAAATTTTCGCAACTGATACCAGGCTTTTTGTAACCTTCTTTGCCTGGTTTCCCACTCAACATATTATAACGTTCATTTGTTTGCCGTTGCGCAATCTGTATTTTTGCCGACATCCCTCACTGCACGATCATCAATGTACTATCACTCGTTACCGAATATAATTCCTGAGAGTTGCTCTAAGGAGCCCACAGCGATTTTCAAAGTCGTGTTACCGATAAGCTCGTTTATTGGATATTCTGTAATTTTATACTGTATAACTGGTATGATAAACGCTCTTCTAAAATTAACTAAAAATTGGTGAGACGCCCGCCTACTGAGGAGGGAGGTCCAGATTCAAACCCTGGCTGAGGTAACATTTCTCGTAATAAATTTAAAATAAGAATTATTTAGATACTAACATCCTGTCACGGCTCTTTAGTCTCTATTCCTCCGAATTTGTGTTCATTACATGAGAGCTTATGTTTATCACGCGAGAGGGAGGTCCAGATTCAAACCCTCTGGCTGAGGTACATTTTTC